TAGGTGTGACTATCTCGCTAAAACTCTTTTCTATGATGCGCTCAGCATCTCAGATGATCTTGAGTGCATTCAGCTCCAGCTCCAACTCCCTAGCACGGTCTCCTAGGAACTGCAGCCTTTCAAGTCAACACCTTAATTCTCACTCTCGTACCAGCAAATTTTCAATAGCACGTCTCTCTCTCCCTTTTGTTTTGGTTAAAGGAGGAGGAGGGAGATGTTGTGAGATCATTGCAAAGACGTAGACACAGAGAGAGAGAGGAGAGAGAGAGAGACATGTCTGTCTTCAAGCTGGCAAGCAACAATTTTGAAATATTTACACAATTTGCACAAGTGGTTGAAGACAGCATTCATAATGTTTTTGGTGGTTCAATTTTAATTCCAAGCGTCTCTCCCATCATCACTGATATGCAGCTCATGAGACTAACAGGATGTAACCATTATCCTACAAATTAGAAGTGCAGTCAGTTCTGGTCACGGAAATCTTATAATGTAAGCATAATTCAACCCTCATTTTGGTGAACTGTCAAACATTAACAATATTAGGTAGTTCATTTGTGCAGACACAGATTAAGAAGTGTAGTTAATTCTTAAGCAACAAATAAATTATGCAGTTGAGATCTTGGACTCAGGTCAAATTTCTCCCAATCTGACAAGTAACAAGTTTTAAAAAACAAGCTATGGTATTACATTAATAGGACGAATAATCAAAATTTATAGTCACTATAAACGTGACAAGAATTTCTTCACACAAATCTTATTGTTTCCTCCCAGTCAATATCATCAGCGGATCACAGGTTCCCTTGGGCAGTTTAAGTTCTTTCCTCAGCTATCTAGAGTTCGATGTGAACTTGCCCTTACAACATATTAACTTTTGAACTGTAAGCTTGACTGGAAATTCTATGATTTTTATCCAACAGAAAGAGCAATAGTGCCAACATCCTGTTTATTCACTTGGTTAAGGCAATTATTACACGGGAACAAGAGTAGGCTAATTATCCTTTTGAGCCTGTCCCACCATTTGATTCAATAATGGCTAATCTGCACGTTGACCCCATGTACCTAACTTGGAGCCACATCCCTAAATATCCTTAATTAACAGAAATCCTACTGACTGTTGTCTTGTTTTTACTATAATTTTACTTATTCTGCAAGTTCTTAGTGATCTTACCAGATACCATTTGGAACTCAATGGATCTGCATCTTTCAATCTGAAATGCCCATAGTTTTAAACCCTGTCTGCTAACCTGGGCACAACAGCATTATGGCTATATTACAGGAGTAGCAGTCCATAGACTTGCACTGATGATCTCAAGACCTGCCTTCCAGATCTCGAATTTAAAGGCCGGGCTCAGTAATGCAATTTAGATAAACATAGAACAATATAGCACAGTACAGGCCCTTCGGCCCATGATGTTGTGCCGAACTTTTACCCTAAACCCAAGGGCTATCTAACCTCCACCCCTACCTTATACTATCATCCATATGCCTACCTAATAGCCGCTTAAATGCCCCTAATGAGGACGACTCCACTACCCTCTCTGGCAATGCATTCCACGCCCCTAACACTCTCTGAGTAAAGAACCTACCTCTGACGTCTCCCCTGTATCTACCTCCACTCACTTTAAAACTATGCCCCCTTGTAATAGCTACCTCCACCCTAGGAAAAAGTCTCTGGCTGTCCACTCTATCTATACCTCTGATCATTTTGTACACCTCTATCAAGTCACCTCTCATCCTTCGTTGTTCTAAAGAGAAAAGCCCTAGCTCTCTCAACCTTTCCTCGTAAGACCTTCCCTCCATTCCAGGCAACATCCTGGTAAATCTCCTCTGCACCTTTTCCAACGCTTCCACATCTTTCCTGTAATGAAGTGACCAGAACTAGACACAATACTCCAGATGTGGCCAAACCAGGCTTTTGTATAGCTGGAGCATAACTTCACGGCTCTTGAACTCAATCCCTCTATTAATGAAAGCTAACACACCATACGCCTTCTTAACACCTCTATCCACCTGGGTGGCAGCTTTCAGGGAACTGTGGACATCGACTCCAAGATCACTCTGCTCCTCCACACTGCCAAGAATCTTTCCGTTAACCCTGTATTCTGCTTTCAAGTTTGTCCTTCCAAAATGAATCACCTCACACTTTTCAGGGTTAAACTCCATTTGCCACTTCTCAGCCCAGCTCTGCATCCTATCAATGTCCCTTTGTAACCTAGAACAGCCGTCCGCACTATCCACAACTCGACCCACTTTCATATCATCCACGAACTTACTAATCCACCCTTCCACTCCTACATCCAAATCATTTACAAAAATCACAAAGAGAAGAGGACCCAGTACAGATCCTTGTGGTACACCACTCGTAACTGAGCACCATGCTGAATATTTTCCGTCCACTACCAGCCTTTGTCTTCCTAGGGTCAGCCAATTCTGAATCCAATCTGCTACCTTTCCCCCTATCCCATGCCTTCCTGCTTTAAGAAGCAATCTGATGTAAAAATCTATCTGGTTTACTGATGTACTTTAGGAATGATAATCTTCCATCCTTACCCAGTCTGACCATCACAGCACTATCTTCAGAAATTGTTTAGCAAGCTCAGAAATTGCTGGAAAAACTCAGTAAGTCTGACAGCATCTGTGGAGCAAAAGCAGAGTTAACGTTTCGGGTGCAGTGACCCTTCTTTAGAACTGATTGTAGTGAGGGAAAGGTTAGTACATATGCTAGAGAAGCGGGTGGAGTGATGGGGAAACAGTAGACAATAGGTAGCGATGGAGTCCAGAGAGAGATAAAAACAGTTGGGGAATCAAAGGAATAGGTAAAGATCAACCTGGGAGAATGAATAGCTGCTAATGGGGACCATTAGCCTGGGCCTGTTGCAGATGGTGAGAGAACCTTTATAAGAGAACATTCTACTTGACCTTAACCTCGCCTGGCTACTTGTCACAGACGTAACCATCCATGGTAGGAGTGATAGCTGCATAGTCCTTAAGTAGATGATATCCTGAGGTTACCATCCATTGTGTTTTTGTGGAATTAACACATTCCTAGATTCACAACAAATAGCATAGCTCAACACTGGGCATCCGTGAGACACTATGGACAATGACCAGCAATAGAATTATTTTAACAGCAACTTACAAACTTACAGCCCACATAGCCCCACCCTAGCATTACCATCAAGTCAGAGGATCAACCCTGGTTCAATAAAAGTACAGAAGACAGCACCAGAAGTAGCACCAGGCAGAATCAAAAATGAAATGAAATCAAAGCAGGATCATACAAATAAACAGCAAATGCAGCATTCTATTGTCAAAGCTATGTGATCCAATAGCCAATAAAGCAAAAAAAAACTTCTGACACATTAAATATCATGGTGGACAATTAGACAACTAACTGGAAGAAGAATATCCACAGGTATTCCCATCCTCAAGGGCATTGGATTTTTTTATTTGGATCGTGATGGTGTACAGGGATATGGGGATGAGACAGGAGATTGGCACTAGATAATAGATCTGGACTAGATAATAGAGCTGGTGCAGCCGTGATGGGATGAATTGCCACCATTTGCACCAAAATAATAAATAATATTTCTGTGATTCAATGATGGCAGGCGGTTTCCAGAATATCCATGCAAAAGACAAAGGTGAAGCATTTTTATACATCTTCAACCAAAAAGTACTGATTGATCATCCATCTCTCCTCCTGAGGTGCACACAATACCAAGAAATGGCTGAAGGCACTGGATGCTGTAAAGGCTTTGGGTCCTAACAACATCCCAGCAAAAAATTACCAAAGATGTATGCTCGAACACTAGCCAGAGACCTAGTCAAGCTGTTCAGAATAGCTACAATGCTTTCATCTATCAGACAATGTGAAAAATTGCCCTAGTATGCCCTGCACACAAAAAAGCAGGCCAACTCCAATTCAGTCAATTACAACCACATCAAACTACTCTCGATCATCAGAAGATGGAATGGGTTGTCAACAGAATTTCACTGATAAATCACTAATAAAAACATAATTCACTGATAAATCTGTTCACTGATTCTCAGTTTGGATTCTACCAAGACTACTGGGCTCCAGCTATCATTGCAGTCTTAATCATAGAATGGACAAGAGCTAAACTCCAGAGGTGAGGTAGGAGTGACTACACTTGATGTCAGGACAAAATTTGATCATGGGTACTATGTAGGAACCCTGGTGAAACTAAGACATATAAAATTAGTGGGTAAACCTCCCACTCACTGAAATCATACCTACCACAAAAGGAAGAAGGAAGGAGGACAATTATTTAGCCCCAGATCATTGTTGCAGGAGATCGTCAGGCTAAATGTTTTCTAATCACCTGTTCAGCAAATATTATTACACATCTCTGGAACAGATTGGGAGTGAATCCAGGCCTCCTCGTTCGGAGCTAGGGACACTAACCCAGTGCCACAAGAACTTAATTTATCTGAATACAGGCAAAATTAACTGCAGCTTTGTGTGAGCAAGAACCCAGAGTAAACACTGCTATTAATTTGGTGATAATTGATAATCATATAGAAAAATGATCACAGCATGGTTGGTATGGAAGGGGAAAAAACTGGTGTTGAAAGGGCTTTCACAGTTTTATTCCACACTTATCTCACTATCTAGAGTTGACACCTTGAGCTCAAATGGAAAGATTTGATAACTGGATTATTCCCAGCAGCAACATCCCAGAGTGTGCAATGAGCACAAAAATCAACAGGTTTTCTCAAGCTAAAATAAAGGTTTAAATTTAGAAATAGGCCGAGAACAATTGAAAATTATAAATAATTATTTCATCTTCTGATATGCTGGTGAGCTCAGTAAGAGAAAAGGTCAGAAGGAGTTAGTCAAGGAGCTTGTTATTGCTAAAGAGAGTGCTTAAAACAAAAACATAGAACAGCAATTACATCATGTCCACCTTTGGATGTGTTTCTCATTCACAGTGAAATCATTTCACTCAACACTGATGAGAAGTCGATCCTGTGATTTACTTGAACCACCTGACTGCATAGAACAACAGCTGTTCTCACATAAGTGCCAACCCCCCAAAAAAAATCCTTTTTGTATTAACTTTGAAGGGCTTTAAATGTACTCACATGGGAATTACCACCTTCCCAATCATAGCTCAACATGTATCCCAACAGGATGCCATTAATTTCTTCCTCCGGAGGTCCAGCCCATTCAACAGTCAATAAGGAATCACTCACTAGTATGCTGACATTGTGAGGGGGAGCTGTTGGGACTGTAAAGGAAAGAAATGCATGAGTCATCTCATCTTCAAACTGCTCGTATATTACTGCACTTAACAATTTCCTATGTATAAAGAACAAACAGCGTAGAGAACACAGCGTTATTATCCCAAAGGAATATGTGGTACAAATTGCTGGAGGGCTGCCTGTGGAGGGGATGTTGGGTTTGGGGTTGAGTTCCACGGTGGTATTAGTGCTGGTGAGAAGGGGAAAGGGCAATTTGGTGATGTCTAATCAGATCGATTGTTCAAATGTGCAAGCTGCCATGGCATATTTAAGTAAGCTAAAACAACACAGGATTTTTTTGGGCAACTACTGAAATAGAAGTTGGATACAGAAAGAATATTTCCAGTTGTAGGGAAGAGAATAACTAAAGGCCATCAGTATAAGATAGTCACCAAGAAATATGAAAGAGAATTATTCCTCATCACATCAAAGCTATCTCCCCATCCCTCCATCTCCCACCACCTCACCTCCATTTGAAACAAGGACAAATGATTTGACAGATTTACAATTTCGCTGACAGAAATGAATGGGCAGCAACTTATATTTTATAAAGCAGTGATTTTGGCTTCATAACACGATGGTGAGACTAGTGAGGGGAAACATTACATCAAAAATAAGGAGAAGAGGAAGAGTTCAATTGTGCTCCATCATTTTATAAGCTCACGTCTGATCCTTTGCCTCAACTCCACTTTCCCCACATGGTGTCCTTATCTCTTGATCACTTTAAAGTCAAGAAATCTAATTATCTCAAGTCTGAAAATACCAACAAGGAATATCCATCGTTCTCTCAGACAGAGAATTTTAAACATTCACAACTCTTTGAGGAAAGAAATTTCTCCATATCACAACTTTAAGTGGCCAACTAATCTAGTGAACTTTTGAATTTGATTTGATTTATTATTGTCACATAGCAAGATACAGTGAAAAGTATTGTTTTGCGTGCTAGCCAGACAAATCATTCCTTACATAAGTACATCAGGGTACTGGAATATAGTGTTACAGCTACAGAGAAAGCTCAGAGAACCTCTAACGTACAAGAGCTCCGTTCATAAATCATTTAACAGCGGGGAAGAAGCTCTTTTTAAGTTTGCCAGCACTGCTTTCATTGTCACTACATCCACTTTTTCAGAATCTTAAGATGTAGATTATTAGATTTAACAGATGTCAACTTGTAGTCTCATTAATTTCTGCTGAACTTTACTTTAAAAAAACTAATATCAACTACTCATTAGACCATACCCACTCCACCCCCTTTCCCTACACCGGCCCCAATCTTCACTGTTACTAATACAATGTTTGTATTTTCTATATAAAAGCAGAAGATAATTATTTAGCTTCTCTGGTAATTCCTTATGTCCTATCGTAACTTCTCTTGTCGGCCCTCACCATTTGCTATGACTAACTTCTCCAATTAATGTTTGATGGTGACTTTTGAAAATGGAAGAGATGTAGATATGCGAAAGGCCTTAACAACAAAGGAAATCTCAAAAAAAAACCTTACCTCCTTCCACTGTTCTGGCCTGGACAGCAGAACAGTGCTTTGACCATCCAACTTCATTCTTACAAGAAACACAGATACTGTAGGATGTCATGGCTTGTAGCTGAAGGATCCCATACTCATAAGGTGGAACTGTAGTTTGATAGTTAAGCACTGGACTGGTCTCGTTTTCAGCATCTTCAACTTTCTTAACCTGATCATAGAAACATAGAGCAAATACATTCTAACATAAAGGACTTGTTGAATTCACTGCACTGAGGGCACATATAGGCATAAAATCTAGGTGAGAGGTGACAAGTATATTGCTTAGATAGTGAGTTATAATGTAAAAATGCACTGCCTGAAACATTGGTGGAAGCAGATTCAACTAACTATTAAAAGGCATGTAGATTTATACCAACAGGAGGAGAGTAGAAGTGTGGGACTCATTCGACATCTGCTGTAAAGAGTCAGAAGAAACAGAAAAGATAGAATAGCCTTCTTCCATGCATCATAACAAGACCATCTACAATGCTATGACATTGTACATAATTCACGAACAATAAAGCGCAACAACAAAAACTACAAGTTATATAGTGTCTTGAACAATCCTTTATTTTGGAACACACTTGGAGTAGTGAGAAAATTAGTGCAAGTGACTGAAAGTGATTTTGAAGAACCTCTTGAGGGTGGGATGAGAGAAGTCCTGGGGAAGCACGCAGGGAGAGAATTAGAAAGTGCAGGGTTCACTTACAGATTCTTAAACTTCTAATGCTGAATATTTTGATAAATAGAAATGTAGCCAATTAAAGTATTTTGCCAGTAAACAAAATAATTCACTAGCGGTATTTTGGATGTCACTTGTCAGGCACACCACTGCTCACAAGTATATGTGACAGTAAATAATTTGAATTAACAAGCTTCATATCATCACATAATTTAAAAAAAACTTTCACTTGAACAATAATGAAAAAATCAATCTTGGTTCCAGCAAAATAAAATCTCATTCTTATATACCCCTTATAAATATTTTATTTTTTGTTCATGGGATGTGGATATCGCTGGCAAGGTCAGTGTTTATTGGCCATCTCGAATTGTCTGGGTGAGGGTGAACTGTTGTTTTGAACTAATGCAGCCCACTTGGTGCAAGTAGACCCACAAATGATGTTAGGGAAGGAGTTCCAGGATTTTGACCTACTCATTTGACTGTTGTCATTTACTATTGGAATTCAAATAAAACATCAATAGACCATGGAATTCCCATTCCTGTTATCTGTGTGCTTGATTATTCCAACAATCATGCAGTAGCCTGCTATCCTCATTCCCAATACCTATGTGCTCAACCAGCCCTAATCTCATTAAATGTGTGTGTCATACTGGGGAATGGCTGGGATATAAAACCGTATGAATTTTATTGGAGACAAAGGCAAAGATAGAGGCGGGTATGCCTGAGCAGACCGGGTTCTGTAGGAATACTGGTGAATGAAACTGGGGATGTGAGCGTAGCTAGCTAAGCCAGCACTGCTGACTTTGAAAGATGGGGGTGAGCCACTGCTTTCGATCTGGTGCACATAATTCCAAGGTTCTTTTAGGAAGGAAATCAAACTCCTCGAATTCCCCTTCCTAACAGTAAACTGGGAGTACCCACACCAGATGGACTGCAGATGTTCAAAGCAACCATTCACCTCTACCTTTTCCAGGGCTAATGGGCAACAAATGTTGGCCTTCCCTGAGATATCCATAATGCTTGAAAGAATAAGTTAAAAACGGCATTGCGGCAATTACTGCAGAATCATTGAAGATACAGCACAGGAGGAGGCAATCCAAAGCTTAGTGTTTGTGCCAACATTTGAAAGAGCTAAGCCAACTAAGTTGACTACACTGTCTTTTTCCGGTACCTCTGGAATATTTCTCCTTTCAAGTTTTTGTCCAATTTCCTTTTGAAAGTTACTATTAAATCTCCTCCCACCATCCTTTCAGGCAATGCATCCAGACCAAAACTGGATGCATAAAAAATTATACATGTTGTTTATTTTTCTTTTACTAATCTCCTTAATCATTGTCCTTTGGTTACTGATACTTCTGTGACTGGAAACGTTTCCCTTCATTTACTTCAAAGGCAGTCATGATTCAGAAATCCACATCTGCTTAACCAGTTCTCCTCTGAGAACACTAATTCCAGTTTCCATCAGAGAAGTAGGTGCAAATGTTCACATCAGAGTACCCGAACAGTAATTCTTACACTCAAAATCTTTGCAGTTACACAAGAATAACATTGACTCAATATACGTTCACTCCTATCTGCATCGTTTGTGTATTCTGGAAGAAATAAGTGTTGTACATTTCACAGATCAGACTGGATATTAGCCAAAATCTGACATTAGCTCTTACAAAACTGCTCAGTGGTCAGCAGAGCATTCTGAGGTTTGTTTTGAAATTAATATACAATCCCCAGTGGAGGGGATACCATCAGAAGGTGGTTAAATATAGACAACAATCCATTAAGTAATGACCACAAACACAAGCTGATTCTGCAATCCTTGACAGGAGAAACTGGGATTACCTTCTGTAATCCTATTTATTGTGACGAATCTGGGCAACAAAACTGAAGTAAATGCTCAGTGTTCGGAATTCTTTATGCTCAATTTACGAAAGAAGTTAATCAAATGCAAAAGGAGCAAGTGTTTGTGAGAAAAAATATACAATGATTAGTTAGGATATAGAATGCACTACCTGGAAATAAATTCAGGTTCAACTGAGGCATCCAAGAGGGCATTGCATGATTATTTAGTTAGAAATAGTTTGCAAGGGTATGGGGGATAAACAGAAGATTCGCATTAGGTAATGAAGCTTGTTTAAAGAGCAGTTTGGCACAACTTGCCAAACAGCCTCCTTCTGCACCATAACAATTATGTGATTCTGTGATATTGACAGTCTTCTCCTGTCAGAAGACTTCACTATGGTGCTGCAACTTTCCTGGATCTCTGAGTACCCCACCCCTTTAACTTCAGTGGAAGTTTAGGTGAAAAATCACCCAGGGCTGGCAAATGCTCACTGCTGTCCAATGGCCCCTGTTAGAAACTGCAATGGACCTTACAGGAGTATAAAATTATAATCACACAATTACAGTTCCTGCCACAATGGTCACAAAAAGACAAAATAGCCACTTCAGTAAAAGAGGAAGCCGCGTCCACTCAGAATTCAACACCTTCAACAGGAGAGGGGTAAGAGAGCACATTGGAAAAACAAACTTCTTAGGAATGTGTTGTGGAAGATGGTGAAAATCAGAAAATCAGAATGATGGAGCAAACCTGATTTTCCTCTTTTAAAGTGAGCAATTACTGCCATTCTTTTCTTTTGGCAGATAAAATACTTCTGGTGTCAAATCGGTCATGAGTTATTACACATTTCAGACCACTGGATTTGCAATCCTTAAAAGTCAACGGCCTGTTCAAGCGAATTAAGAATCTGTTTTGGCTTTACATTTGCTGAATCATGCATACTGCAAAGTCACAGCCAACAAGCTGCAGCCCACAGGTAATAATGAGGAAAACTGCCAAGATCTGACACATCTGCTTGTGAGTCACAGAAGAGCAATTGGTCTAAATCAGCATATTATTATTCTCTGCAATCATTCAGTCCCTGCAGGAACTGCACTGTAAGATAAGTTAAATTTACCTGGAATAGGCAAGTGTTGAGTGAGGAGTATCCATCAAAGCCAGGCTCCCATGAAACTACAACAGTGTGCGCTGTTTGGTTCTTAATCTGTAGGTTCATCGGTGCATGTGGGATGTCTAAGACAAAAAAAGTTATAGCACGTTATTGCACTTGTTGAAGATGATGTATATTTTGATGCACAATGCAGCTTCCTTCCCATTATAAATCCACCAGATTAAAACATTGCATTGCTCCTGCTTTTGGGGAGGGCTCACGATTTGCAACAAACCTGTGCACAATCGTGACGAAGCAGGCAGCTGTCTTCTGTCTTGCCTCTTAAACAATAATAGCATTCAGCCAAGCTGCTGGCTGGTTGGAAACTCAAATGGGGTCCCAGCGGTCGGCCAGACTAGCATGTGTTCATCCAGCCTGCACCTCTTAAAAGGTAAGTTGGTTTCCACTGAAATTACTAGAGACTGTCGTCGAAGTGGCCGTGAGAAGTTGGATACCAAAATGGAACAACAGCCAAGAGAAGGAGCTTCCAGTTTCTTGAATGCAGCACTCAAAGTCTAAGTTGAGGAGGCCAACAGCAGAAGACTGGCTGTTCTTCTGCGGAAGGCCAAGAAGCACTCAAGAAAAAGAGCCTTCATCATTCCCCCATCTGGAGACCTAGCAGTTCAGACCTAACGTGTAGAACACCCACCTCTCATTGTCTCCATATACCTCCTGCTCCCACAGGCACATCATTCGAATGCATTGAAACAGACATTGTCATTCTTTGCTCTCTCTTGAAGAGTAATGTGGCCCATAACCATAGAATCAATAATAGAGGTGTACCTACGTCACTAAAACCCGCAAGGAGACTCATTCTGTGTCATTGAGCCAACTGTGATAGTGACAGTTTAATTTGGTACCGCCAAGGTCATGCAGCATGACGGGAAATTCACTCCAATGCTCTTAATCAAATTTCACCTCATGCAGTTATCTGACATAGAAATAGGTATTGAGATTGAACCTTTTGCTTTCATCTCACACACTCCTCCCTTACCCTACTAACTTTGTGTTTCCAGATATACAGGGACTGCTATTTGACCAGCCAGTGCAGTTACCTGAGGCAAGGCAAGAGCTGCTACATCAGGTAGAAGCATCACGACTTGATCTGACATTTGCAGCCATCATCTGAGATACTGGTACAGCACGTAGCTGATAATGCAGGATAAAGTCATGATCTATATGTGATGAGTCACCAGACACAAGTGGGCTGCAAGCCAGGCATATTTTTGGGCCGGCTTCTCACAACATGAGGTCACAGATGAGTTATGTTACTTGGGGCTCAAGAGAGGATTTCATGGGGCCTACAGGACAATGTTGTAAATATGCACACACAGATGCTTAGTGCATTAGCAGATAGCACCTTGTTCCTGTCAAGGACAATAGTAGAGTCAGGACCAAGCAAGGCACAGGGCATCATGCAGAAGTTGAAGCCCATCCATTCAGGCGTAGAAGTGGTGGCAAATTCCATGCTTGAGGATGAATTGTGATGAAGCATCTGACAGCCACTGTATCACAGACAGCAATCACCTAATGTTTCAGTGCTGTACTGGAAGTTCAGATGGGATCAAGAGGCTCAGATTGATGCTATCATCCCAGTGCTTAAAGCAGCAGTGTATTTACAAATAAAACCATCAGACAGTCTTCAACCTGGAACTGCGGTAACAATACAGCTGACCACTTTACAGTAACCTTGCTGAGAACACATACATGTGTATTTGAGGTGAAGACAGTCTCAGAACTGGGTTGTAATGAAAGATCATCAACCACAACAGATAATTCTGTTTCTCTCTTAACAATTGATGTTGACCCGTTCATTATTGCCACAAACGTGTTTTCATTACAGACCCAACTGTGATGCCTTATGTTGTTGAACAGTCATGCCAGGTTCATGCATGAAGAGCTGACTAATGTTCAACTCCATTTTTGGTGGAGCTTCCACCTCGTTACCTTTGCAATGTTGATCAATATCATCATGACCATGGTCAATTTTCCTAATGTTCACTTCACTTGTCATCCCATCTCTGCTTTCCATAAACCTGAACTAACCTTAAATCCATATGCAATGCACCATTGTTTCTGTCTTCACCAAATTCCATTAAATCTCTCCATTCTCTCACTTCACCTTACTTACTGAATCTTTTCCGGCCAATTATCTCAATCCACACTGACTGTTTGGGTCCATACTCCCTAGGCTCTAAACAAAAGGTTGCTCTTTTGACCATGATGCCTGTTCCCTCTGCACCACCCTTCCATATTCACTTTGCTTTTTTACCTCCCTCACTGTCTTCAATAGCTTCCTAAATAAAAGCTCTTTCTAATTCCAATTAATGGGAGAATACTGAGAGTTTGACAGAAGGTGAGGGAAATTAATAACAAAAGAACATTAGAAATAGCAGAAGCAGTAGGCCATTTGTCCCCTCAAACCTGCTTTGCCATTCAACAATATTTCAACTGATCTGCTCTAAACCTCAGCTCCTCTTTTGTGCCGGCTCCTCATAGCCCTCAATTCCCTGACAATTTAAAAATCCATCCACCTCATCTTTAAATACTTTGTAATGTAGCTTCCACAACTCTCTGGGTACAGAATTCCAAACATTCACCACCTGCTGAGACAAGAAATTCCTTCACACCTCAGTATATATGCATGACCCCTGATTTTGTAACAACATACCTCAGTTTTGATGTGGAGGGGCCAATGTTGGACTGGGGTGGACAAAGACTTCATCTGACGAAGGAGCAGTTGATCCAAAAGGTTGTGATTTCAAACAAACCTGTTGGACAATAACCTGGTGTCTTGTGACTTCTGCCCTGGTTTTGGGATTACCCTACACTGGAAACATCTTCTCAGCATTTACCCTGTCAAGCCCCCTCAGAATCCTGTCTGTTTCAATAATACCACCCCTCATTCTCCTTAACTCTAATGAATAAAGGCCTAACCTGATTAGCCCTTCTTGATAAATTAAGCCCTTCATCCCAAGAATCTGCCTAGTAAATTTCTTTTGAATGGCCTCCAATGCTAGTACATCCTTTTTCAAATACAGTGATCAAAACTCTAAACAGTACTCCAGGTGCTATTTTACCAACTCCACAGTTGGATGCAAACTTCCCTAATTTTAAACTACAAACTCCCTAACAATAAAGACAATTGATGTAAATGTCCACACATGGCTGATGGTAGCAGGACAAGTCAAGAAGGTGGTTGAAGCACGTAGAATCCTTTAATAGCCAAGATATAGAATATAAGAACAGGGAGGTTAAGCTGGAACTGTAACAATCATTACTTCGGCCATAACTTGAGCAATGTGAGTGGTTCTAGGGGTCATGTTATTACAGAAATAATGCAGAAGACAGGGTACAGAGGAAATTTACAAGGATGTTGCAGGACCGGATGATAAAAAAATTGAATAGGTTAGGTTTATTCGCCTTGCGAGAGAGAAGGCTGAGGGGAAATTTGATTGAGAGAGACTTGATTTGATTGAGATACACAGAAGTGTGAGGGCCTCGGATAGAGTGGACGTAAAGAGCCCATATCTCTTAGCAGAAAGGTCAATGACTGAGGACATTGATTTAAAGTGATTACTAGAAGGATTATTGAGAAGGTAAGGAGAAAGGTTTTCACTCACAGATGGTTGGGATCTGGACGTCACTGTTCAAGATAGCAGTCAAGGCTGAAACCTTTGACTCATTTCAACGGTGTCTGATGTGTGCAAACGCCATAACCTGCAGGACTATGGATCAAATGGTGGACAATGGGATCAGGCTAGGCGGCTTGTCTTTTTTTGTCCAGCACAGACAAGATGGGCCAAACGGGCTCTTCCTGTGCAATAAACTTACTAAGATTCTATCTTGCTCACCCAATCCTCTAAGTTTTTTTTTAAACTTCAGCTTGGTCTCCAATTCATTATTTTCAACGTGTTCCAAAGCATTCCTTTACAAGTAATAGAGGTACAAAGTGCTGTTGCTGTTGCAACAGTTCAGGGTAGCAACTGCCCGCAAAAATCAGACCCGAGAAAAATATTTTCTTTTAAGCTCTTTCAATGGGATGTGGGTGTTGCTGCCTAGGCCAGCCATTAGATGTCCATCCCAAATTTTCCTGCGCTTAACAATCACCCACACTGTTGTGGATCTGGAGTGAAATGTAGGCCAGATAAGGGGAAAATAGCAGAACTCCTTTTCTAAAAGGACATTAGTGAAGCAGGTGGGTTTTTAATACTGATCGGAGCTGGTTTCATGGTCACCATTACTGAGACTTGCTTTCAATTCCAGATTCAATTAGATGAATTGCTTAGCAAGAAAATGAAAGGTTATTGGCGATATGCAGGAATATGGAGTTGAGGTTAAAATCAGATTGGCCATGATTTTATTGAATGCTGGAGCAGGTTCAAAGGGCTCAATGGCCTCTTCTTATTCCTTGTTAGCATGTCCTAATGTTTGCAGTTTAATTCCAGCAGCTGCTGCAATGGAATTTGAGCAGCCTGGCCTCTGGATGACTAATTCAGTGTCATAACCACTACACCTCTGTCTCTCAATAATTGACAGTGCTTTCAAGAAAGCATGGCAAACAAACTTAGCTAAAGGTATGCAGTATAGACTATTAAATATAAACAGAGCAGTGTACTCCCTCACAGCAGAACTATACTGCCAGTCTAATTTTATCAGAGACTGTGTTTATTCATGTAGACAACAGTCCCACAGCGATTCTAAGTATGTTACAGCAATGGAAAGGGAGCAGCTCCAAGAAAACTTTTGACTGTGGTATTAAGATTAAATATTTAATAAGAAAAAACACAGTAATAGCCATTGGATGTGTTACATACCCTTGATGTTAACCTGGGCTTCCTTTGAAACTGCTACTCCTTTTGGATTGTGTGCTTCACAGCTATATCTCGTCCGTTCATTAATTCCTAAGTTGGAAAAATAAATAAGGACAAAATGAACGGAAGCTCCCTATGTAATACATCTTAAAAATCCCACAGTAGCAGCAAATATCAATAGAACTATTGTTTCATATGGGCAAGTTGAAACCAACTATTAAAACCTTTCTATTAAAAACCAGGAATTAAACTGTACATTTACTTGCATCAAAAGAAGAGATCCCAGTTACTTGCAAAATCCAGTTTTAAGGAATTGTCAGCTTTTCGGTTCCAAAAAATTTCTAAACTAACCAAGCCTGTCATTCAAGAAAGGTTGCACACCTGAAAACAGGGAAAAATAAAAATGTATTGGCCATAGATCCTTTTGCCACATTTTTTTTGTGTGCAACCCTGAGGAAAACAGAAAGGAAGAATCCGTATTTGTTAAACACACACAAGACATTTAGTCAACTCTCAATGGCCATCATATAGTCATGCATGAAGTATGAACGGTCAACAACCACCTATACAAACCTCGAGTCTGCTAATCCCTTGGAAGGTGGTACTCTTACAAATAGACATATGATGTACAGCGATTTTGGGAAATACACGCAGTTAATCTCGCCAAGGTGAAATGCCAAGAAAGCATCAATACCACCCCATGGGCTGTCTGAGGCCCTGAAAGGATAAGGTTGATTATTAATAGTTTAACCTACAATTTGCTTTCAAATAAATTTTTCTGTTGATATTTAGTCCTTGTTTTTCTCTCGTAAATATGTTGACTGGATACAATTCCTAGTAGCTGGTAATTTATACTGGTATGTGGCCTTGACAGGAAATAGCAGTGGAGGATGGGATGGCACTGCTGCCTCACAATGTCAGGGACCCGGGTTCGTTTCCAACTTTGGGTGACTGTGTGGAGTTTGCATGTTCTCCCATGTCTCCACTGGTTGCTTTGGTTTCTTCCCACAGTCCAAAGATATGCAGGTTAGGTGGACCGACCATGGTATGTATGGGGTCATGGAGGGGGTCTTTGTGGGATTCTCTTCAGAGGGCTAGTGCAGACTTGATGGGCTGAATGGCCTCTTTCTGCACTATAGGGATTCTATGTTTTGATCATAGATGGCACTTCAGCCAAACTCCATTCTGTCTTTATTTGGAACCTACATACAGGTAACTCAACCCCGAAGCACCAGACAGCAAAAGGGAAGAAGGAACTTCAGCTGTTGCTCTCCTTCCATATCTTAAAGGCACTGAGACTGATTATCTAAATGTTACTGCTACTCAGCTGAGAGGAGGAACCTCCACACAGACCTGGGATTGAAGCAAGGATCCTACTACTATTTATGCCTTGGCAATTCATTCAGTAAATCTGCTGAATCACTGGGGGAGTCACAACTGACAGTTTCATCCTAACATCAGGCTTAAAATTTCTAATAATGAAACTAACAACCAACAGTGACAAGAAATAATTTGCACTATAATTAAGCCCTATCCCCAAAAATTCCTTGCTCAGAGGAAGAACCTTTATTTTCTTGATTGTTGATATCCCTAATTCACACTTTGCAACTCTTCCTGAAACATATTTTGCTGATTTCTCATAGCCAGAGAAATCACAGAACTCCGTGGAAGAATGAGCGAAAATGCAATCAGTTGGCTTCAGACTTTGATACAAAATAGAACTCAAACACATATAGAGCCATGTATATTTTTCACAAAACCAATTACAAAAACTCACATAACTTGTTAACATGATTTCTATTCCTTCATAGAGTTTAATAGTTAAAGTTTTCATTGCTCTGTTACTCATCAGCAATCAGGTATGTGGATACTGATAAACCTCACAAACTCTGCATCACTAATCCATGTGATTCCATTACACACTGTTCACAATTATCTATACATCCATTTCTATGGACAGGAAGCCAGAGTAGTTGTGTGTTTTTATTATAATTTGTTATTCTCAGAATATGGTCATTGTTGGAAAAGTTGGCATTTTTTGTCGACGCTTAGTTAACCTGAGAAGGTAATGGCGTGCATCACAATTAAGATTAATCTGAGTGATTGCTGCAGGTTATGGTTTGCTAACACTTCAACCACTTAGGGTGGAACTGGAGTTACACACAGACAGGTTCATTGGCCTAAAGGACAATCCAAAAGCTTACAGACCATCTTAACTTTATGAGGTTAAGGAAGTCAAATCATGATGATAGAGGACAATAGTACCTTAGAAACTCAGAAAATGGGAGAAATTCAGCCTTTACTGGCTGCATTGTTAGCATTTCTTAAAAACTGAAGAACCAAAGTTCAAAATTACTAGTTTCACATTCATACATTTTCTCATGGAAAGGAAGTTCTTTTAATTGAGATTTTTCTTATAAAATGTAGACAGTCCAATTTGAATTCTAACACAGCCAATTTTATATGACCCATGGAAAATACACATCGCAAGAGCCTGTGGTTTTCCTGTGCAATTGTAGCTGGCTTCAGGAAAACTGAGATAGTAGGAACTGCAGATGCTGGAGAATCCGAGACAACAAGGTGCAGGGCTGGATGAACACAGCAGGCCAAGCAGCATCATAGGAGCAGAGAGGCTGACGTTTCGGGCCTAGACCCC